TCTCCATTTTCCATTCCTTTTCTTGATTACACACCCAGACTGACTACCTGTTCAAAACTGCAGCAGTTCAGGTCACCGGATGCGGGGAGTGTCTGAGCCTGTTGCTGCCATCAGCGGGAGGCAAAGAAAGAAACTGCATGCGTGAGGTGTGAGCAGGTGGATGACCTGGTCTGCATGCTGGCGGAACTCAAGGAGGAGGTGGAGAGGTTGAGGGATATCAGGGAGTGCGAGCGGGAGATAGACTGGTGGAGCAACTCCCTGCAGGGCCTCAAGGAGAGGTACCGGGGTGAGACACCCCAAATGGGGGTGGACCCCCTGCCCTGTCGCCGTCGGGCAGAGGGAGGGGATCTGGGAGTTGAGGAGGAATGGAGACAGGTCACTGCTTGACCTCGCAGGCGATGCCCTCCCCTTCCAGCCCCGCCTTCCCAGGTGCCCTTACGCAACAGGTTTGAGGCCCTGGAGCTTGAGAGACCAGTAGCTGAGGAAGAGGTAGAAAGTGTACCCAGGAGGATGCCTAGGGCAAGGAAGTCGACTCCACGCCTCAGGACTGCCTCCACCAAGAAAGAAAGAAGGGTGATTGTTGTGGGAGACTCTCTTCTCAGGGGAACAGAGGGCCCTATTTGTCGGCCTGACCCTACCCGTAGGGAAGTCTGCTGCCTCCCTGGGGCGTTGCCAGGAAGCTTCCCAACCTGGTTCACCCCTCCGACTATTATCCTCTTTTGATAGTCCAGGCGGGCAGTGATGACACTGAAGACAGAAGCCTCAAGGCTATCAAATGGGACTTTAGGGGGCTGGGGCGATTAGTGGAGGGAGCAGGAGTACAGGTGGTGTTTTCGTCTATCCCTACGGTGGGAGGGAGAGGTACTGACAGGACACAAAAAACCCACCTGATAAACACATGGCTCAGGGGCTGGTGCCAGTACAGAAATCTTGTGTTTTTTGGCCATGGGACGCTTTACTCAGCACCCGGCCTGATGGCCGCAGACGGGTCCCTATCTTTTAGGGGAAAAAGGATCCTGGGCCAGGAGCTGGCAGGGCTCATTGAGAGGGCTTTAAACTAAGTAAGATGGGGGATGGGGCTGAAACAAGGCTTGTTGGAGCTGTGCCAGGGGGAACAATGGCAAGGCCAGAGGATAAGGCAATGGCCCAGCTGAAGTGCATCTACACCAATGCACGCAGCATGGGTAACAAACAGGAGGAGCTGGAAGCCATCGTGCAGCAGGCAGGCTATGACTTGGTTGCCATCATGGAAACGTGGTGGGACCAGTCTCACTGGTTGATAGAGTCCCTTGGGAGGCGGTTCTGAAGGGCAGAGGAGTCCAGGAAGGCTGGGCACTCTACAAGAAGGAAATCTTAGTGGCACAGGAGCGGTCTGTCCCCACGTGCCCAAAGACGAGCCAGCATGGAAGAAGACCGGCCTGGCTCAACAGAGAGTTGCAGCTTGAGCTTAGGAGAAAAAAGAGGGTTTATAATCTTTGGAAAAAAGGGCGGGCCACTGAGGAGGACTATAAGGATGTTGCAAGGCTGTGCAGGGACAAAATTAGAAAGGCCAAAGCTCATCTGGAGCTCAATCAGGCTACTGCCGTTAAAGACAACAAAAAATATTTTTACAAATACATCAACGCAAAACGGAGGACTAAGGAGAATCTCCATCCTTTACTGGATGCGGGGGGAAACCTTGTTACAAAAGATGAGGAAAAGGCGGAGGTGCTTAATGCCTTCTTTGCCTCAGTCTTTAGCGGCAATACCGGTTGTTCTCTGGATACCCAGTACCCTGAGCTGGCGGAAGGGGATGGGGTGCAGAATGTGGCCCTCACAATTCACGAAGAACTGGTGGGCGACCTGCTACGGCACATGGATGTGCGCAAGTCAATGGGGCCGGATGGGATCCTCCCAAGGGTACTGAGAGAACTGGCAGAGGAGCTGGCCAAGCCACTTTCCATCATTTATCAGCAGTCCTGGCTATCGGGGGAGGTCCCAATTGACTGGCGGCTAGCAAACGTGACGCCCCTCTACAAGAAGGGCCGGAGGGCAGACCCGGGGAACTATAGGCCTGTCAGTTTGACCTCAGTGCCAGGGAAGCTCATGGAGCAGATTATCTTGAGAGTCATCACGCAGCACTTGCAGGGCAAGCAGGCGATCAGGCCCAGTCAGCATGGGTTTATGGAAGGCAGGTCCTGCTTGACGAACCTGATCTCCTTCTATGACAAAGTGACGTGCTTGGTGGATGAGGGAAAGGCTGTGGATGTGGTCTACCTTGACTTCAGCAAGGCTTTTGACACCGTTTCCCACAGCATTCTCCTCAGGAAACTGGCTGCTCTTGGCTTGGACTGGCGCACACTTCATTGGGTTAGAAACTGGCTGGATAGCCAGGCCCAAAGAGCCGTGGTGAATGGAGTCAAATCCAGCTGGAGGCCGGTCACTAGTGGTGTTCCCCAGGGTTTGTTACTGGGGCCGGTCCTCTTTAATATCTTCATCGATGATCTGGATGAGGGCATTGAGTGCACCCTCAGGAAGTTCGCAGATGACACCAAGTTAGGTGCGTGTGTCGATCTGCTCGAGGGTAGGAAGGCTCTGCAGGAGGATCTGGATAGGCGGGACTGATGGGCTGAGGTCAACTGCATGAAGTTCAACAAGGCCAAGTGCCAGGTCCTGCACCTGGGGCGCAATAACCCCAAGCAGCGCTACAGGCTGGGAGAGGAATGGTTAGAAAGCTGCCAGGTGGAGAAGGACCTGGGAGTACTGGTTGATAGTTGTCTGAATATGAGCCAGCAGTGTGCTCAGGTGGCGAAGAATGCCAACGACATCCTGGCTTGTATAAGAAGCAGTGTGGCCAGCAGGGCTAGGGAAGTGATTGTCCCCCTGTACTCGGCTCTGGTGAGGCCGCACCTCGAGTACTGTGTTCAGTTTTGGGCCCCTCGCTACAAGAAGGACATCGAGGTGCTTGAGAGAGTCCAGAGAAGGGTAACAAAGCTGGTGAGGGGTCTGGAGAACAAGTCCTACGAGGAGTGGCTGAGGGAGAAAAGCCTGGAGAAAAGGAGGCTCAGGGGCAACCTTATTGCTCTCTACAGGTACCTTAAAGGAAGCTGTAGCGAGGTGGGGGTTGGTCTGTTGTCACCATGTGCCTGGTGACAGGACGAGGGGGAACGGGCTAAAGTTGCACCAGGGGAGTTTTAGGTTGGATGTTAGGAAGAACTTCTTTACCGAAAGGGTTGTTAGACATTGGAACGGGCTGCCCAGGGAAGTGTCACCAACCCTGGAGGTCTTTAAAAGACGTTTAGATGTAGAGCTTGGTGATATGGTTTAGTGGAGGACTTGTTAGTGTTAGGTCAGAGGTTGGACTCGATGATCTTGAGGTCTCTTCCAACCTAGAAATTCTGTAATTCTGTGATTCTGTGAAACTAGTCTCCGTTTTCCATTCCTTTTGAACAATATAGAATATCCTGAGTTGGAAGGGACCCTTAAGGATCATCAAGTCCAACTCTTGACACCGCACAGGTCTACCCAAAAGCTCAGACCATGTGACTAAGTGCACAGTCCAATCTCTTCTTAAATTCAGACAGGCTCGGTGCAGTGACCACTTCCCTGGGGAGCCTGTTCCAGTGTGCAACCACCCTCTCTGTGAAGAACCCCCTCCTTATGTCAAGCCTAAATTTCCCCTGCCTCAGCTTAACCCTGTTCCCGCGGGTCCTGTCACTGGTGTTAATGGAGAAAAGGTCTCCTGCCTCTCGACACCCCCTTACGAGGAAGTTGTAGACTGCGATGAGGTCTCCCCTCAGCCTCCTCTTCTCCAGGCTGAACAGGCCCAGTGACCTCAGCCGTTCCTCGTACGTCTTCCCCTCCAGGCCTTTCACCATCTTCGTAGCCCTCCTCTGGACACTCTCCAACAGTTTCATGTCCTTTTTATACTGTGGTGCCCAGAACTGCACACAGTACTCGAGGTGAGGCCGCACCAGCGCAGAGTAGAGCGGGACAATCACCTCCCTTGACCTACTAGCGATGCCGTGCTTGATGCACCCCAGGACACGGTTGGCCCTCCTGGCTGCCAGGGCACACTGCTGGCTCATATTCAACTTGCTGTCTACCACGACCCCCAGATCCCTCTCTTCTAGGCTGCTCTCCAGCGTCTCATCGCCCAGTCTGTACGTGCAGCCAGGGTTTCCCCGTCCCAGGTGCAGGACCCAGCACTTGCTCTTATTGAACTTCATGCGGTTGGTGATCGCCCAGCTCTCCAACCTATCCAGATCCCTCTGCAAGGCCTTTCCACCCTCAACAGAGTCCACAACTCCTCCAAGTTTGGTGTCATCAGCAAACTTGCTCAAAATACCTTCTATTCCTACATCCAGATCGTTTATAAAAATATTGAAAAGTACCGGCCCTAAAATGGAGCCTTGAGGGACCCCACTGGTGACCTCCCGCCAGCCTGACGCAGCCCCATTCACCATAACCCTTTGGGCCCTGCCCGTTAGCCAATTGCTCACCCATCGTATGATGTTTTTATTTAGCTGTATGCTGGACATTTTGTCCAGTAGGATCCTATGGGAAACCGTGTCAAAAGCCTTGCTGAAGTCCAAAAAAATCCTATCAGCTGGTTTCCCTTGGTCCACCATACGGGTGATCTTATCATAAAAGGAAATCAGGTTAGTTAGGCAGGACCTACCCTTCACAAACCCATGCTGGCTGGGACCAATGACTGCTTTGTCCCCCATATATATCTTGCTTTAATATATCTTGCTTTAAGTTTTTAAGCAACTCGGTCTTCAGGCCTTATGTATCCCGTTCTTCCCGGATTAAAGAAAAGCATATCCATCTCCTTTTCAAGGCCAATGAGGCCTGAGTCAAAAGGCACGTTCAGGTCAGCAGGGGGCGTAACAGCAAAAGCCTTTGATGGCTGTAGCAGCAGAAGGGCCCATGGCGTAGCAGTCAGATCAGTAAAGGAGCCCGCAGCTCCCTCACAATGAAGATTCTCTTTTTTCTCTTTGTTCTGGGAAACGCCATAGAGACAGATGAAGAATTTGGGAAGAGAGTGTGGGTTCCCTGTGCAGAGTCCAATGATGAAATCTCTGAACAAGGTAAGAGCAAGGGGTTGTGGCTCTGAAGGGTTTTGTTGCTTCCTTTTCCCCTTCCAAACCTGTTATTGAAGTGGTAGACGTGAAATGTAGGATGTGTGTAGCACAGGAACTGATATTCCAAGTGCTAAGTGAAAGAGCCTAAAAAGATCAAGCTAAATAGGGCTTCTTTTTAATGCATGCCATTATGATGGTTTGGGTTTTAGAACAGTTTGTATTGTTTCCAAATTATCTACCTGTAATTGTTATCAGCCTCCTGATACCAGGACCTAATTAGGAAGTAAGAGCCTTAAATAGGCTATTTGCATAGTGAGCTTCCATATGTCTCCTTGTGCAATTTATTTGCTTCACTCCATTGAGATATAATGAGAATGAAACTCCTCAAACTGCCTTTGACTCTGAGGCTCTCTTCTTCATCTCCTCTGCAGTTAGAGGCCACTATTAAGAAGATAATATCTATTTCCCTTTGTTCAGAAAGAAAAAGCAACTGTACTGCTACCCTTATTCCAGATCAGCCAAGTTTTTCTATTTCCCAGTTTCCAATGGAAATAGAATGAGAAACAGCCAAACAACCCACAGACAGCCTGTGAAAAAATGTAATGCTGTCAGAGAAAGCGCAAGGAAGGTTAGGACAGGCTGATCTCGAAGACACTATCCACCATAACTAGGGCTCCTAAAAACCTGATGAGGACTAATGTCCTTGTTTTTTCAGCGGAAGTACAGGTCCCATTTAAAGAGTTCTAAGCTGGTTCTGTTTGGATTTCTTCCTTCCAGGATGTTATTAAGGGGGAAAGGTTGTTTCAAGGCTGCTTAAGTTTTGTCCTAGTTTTGAATATTTAGCTCAATCTGGAACAACACACATTCTGGGGCCCTCTGCTCACGTAATTTTGCAAAGTGTGTTCTTTAAATACAGTTTCAGAAGATATCCTTTATTTCCAAACTCCTCTTACATGCATGACTCCACCCCATCCTTCATTCTTTTATTCCCATCATCCTGAAGGTAGCAAAACTTAAGCATATGATGGGGTGCCATTTTCCATAGGGATGAACTTTAATGACTGATCAAAGTGTTGTCTTCTCTGCTCTGCTCTGCTCTGCTCTCCTCATCAGGATCTTATTTCATTTCCTGGTGTAAGTTAGTTCCACATGCAATGATTTTGTTTATGATAACTCAGTTGCAAGTTCCCTTCCAACAACTGCTGTTTCCTTCTAGAAGGGAGGTTAGTGTTGGTCCCCTTATAGTGATAATTATAATCAGACCTGTCATCCTTCACACAGTCTACGCTTATCACTTGGATTTAGGAGGATTTTTCCTGAAGCCTATTACCAGTGCAGCTTCTTAGGGAAAAATAGTCATGACTTTTCAGCTAATTTTTGATGGCTCTCAGGTTTGAAAGCACAGAGAGAAGCAAAATGACTGCCAGTTGCAGTTAAAGGCACTGTCTGTCTATCGGGGTGTAAAGCTCTGCATCTGGAGAGCAGGGATAGACAGACAGTCTGGGGAGCACAGCATTTTAATGCGGCTGTGACAACTCCTCACATGTGCAGGAGACACAAGGCAGTGCTTTTTCCAACTGCAGCACTCCCCACCCCCCGAGCTCTGCAGACCTGCCAGACAAGGGCTCCGGGTGTCAGGCGGTGCTTGGCAGTGGCACCTTCTCTCCCTGCTGTTTTGGGTAGCGATCTGTGGTTCTGCCCGTGTCAAGCCGCTTGGCCGCAGATGGCCAGAGGAGCGGCTGCTGTTTGCGGCAATGGCTGGAGGTGATGGACAGCACCCAGGGATGGGCTCAGAAAGGGACTGACGGACCCGCTGCCACCTGCATGCGGCACTGCGGCGGTGACCGACTGGCCAGTGCCATGGTGGGAAGTCTCTCAGTGTTTTCTCTATCCCAGGACGTGTAGAAAATTACTCACCCTAGTGTTTTTTGCTGGGAGAGGCATCTCACCATTTAGTAGAATCACCCTCATTTTCACTTCATTACTCCCATTGATATGCTAATAACCTCTCTCTTTGGCTTTTGCTTTTTGCTAACTTAAAAAAGCAATATGACAGTTTCATTAGTCTAAATGAGTGATGTATTTTTCAGTCCCTCCTGTGTTGTCACCATGCTCTATGTTCTCAGAGAGCTGGACTCCCTTGGTCATGGCAGGAGTTGAAGATGGTCAGTGCTTTATAGCTTTTGTAGCAGAGGAAATGGTGGGACAGTGGGAACTTGTGTTCTCTGCAGCTATGTACTGACAGTGTGCAGGGATATGATTTGCCTTTGTTTTATTTAAATTTACTGGCAACTCAAGATTTATCTATCAGGTGTCACTCCCTGAAGGAAGATACCACATAGCAAAGACTTCATCTATTATACAAACAGATTTGAGGCTTTGCTATTGCATTTCCCTGCCTGCTGTAAGGAGTAAAAATGCCTTTGGCTGAACAGAGTGATACTTAGTGGTAACATCTTATGACCTCAGCTGAGATCTCAAGCCATATTAGTGGACAGATTATGATGTGATGGAAAGAGGGCCAGGAATAGCTTTTTTATCGTGAGACCCTTTCTGTGAATATCCTTCTTTGTTATATTCAGGTGGTTAATCACCGGGGCCAGGACCATCATTTGATGAAAACAGGGGAGTGAAATATTGGAACAGGTGATCCAAACACACTCGAGTTTGCCAACTCCAGTTGGATATTACAGCTTACAGTTTCTCCCTAATATTCTCCTACCCTCCTGTTTCTATCAAGCGTAGGTGACGTTGCAACATTTGCTGTCATTAATAACCCCATTTTGGCAGGAAAATCTACACAAAATGGACCCTGAGTCCTTGGACTGCAGGGAGCTGCAGTCCCCAAATACAAGGGATGCACATTGTGAATACGGATATCTGACACTGAAGGGAAGCACTCACATGGAAATGTCTCCCTGTCATTTTTGAGATAATAAAGGTAATGCTTAAACCTATTTCAACCCTATTTAGAAAAAAATGTAGGTTTTAAAAATTTATAGCCCTGCTAGTGTTTTTCTTTTAATGGAACCAGAGACAAATGAGAATAACTTTTACACCAGTCTTGCCTACTTCCTGCTCAGGATTTTTCCTTAAACTTTGTGGTAGGTTTAAATTAGCCTCCTTTTTATCTTAATGGCCAATATTAATATTCAGCATCCTGGATAATTACTCATGAAGAAGAATGCTCATTCCCTGCTGACTCTGCACATCGGGAATGGTTGTGCCCAAGTTTGATCTGGCTGCCAAGGCCACTTCTGGTGAGGAAGGACAGGCGCTGGTGAAGTCCGAATGTTTTCTGGTCTACGTGAGTCATGCACAGGTAGGCCCTGCCGGTTATGGAGTCTGCAGCATAGCCCTGCACGTGCTAGAGTGGGGATGTCTGAGTTGTGCAAGTGTTGTTTCTTCTTGAGCCGAATGATCTGCTTGTTTCCCCAAAGGGAGAGAGAAGGGCAGTGCAAGAATCCTGAGCTACTCTCAGCGTAGTGGGGATGCTGAGGCACCAGGTCTGGAAAACAATAGCTGCCACAGCCAAAAGGAAACTCTTTGAAAATGAGGAGGTTATGGAGGTGGAGGAAATACACAGCAGGACACCGTCTCCTCTTATCTCCCCCAGCCTCTTCAATCAGGTGCCTGCTGGGCTTCCCACTTCTCCTGCCTTTAGCAGTAGATCATAGGATCATAAGGCATTATCTGTTGGCATTAACTCATCCACCATCCTCCTGGCATTATAGCTCCCCGAGTCAGGGAGCCACAGCGAAACATGGATACTATGAGCCTACATTGGGCTTTGAACTGCAGCTGCCAGGGCTACAGAAGTTTCCAAGCAGGAACTGCAAGGAGGCACCAGTTCCCTGACACCAGTCTCCACCACCTTTCCTATGGGCGCTGCAGAAGGTGGGTGCAACACCGAAAAAGTGCTGCTGCTGAAATACAGCTGGACAAGTATACATGGACAATAATACATATAAATACATGGACATAATATAATAAATACATGGATGAGTTCTGGAGCACCGCAAGTGAAGCTGTTTGAAGAGGTGGGTTCCTCGGAAAGGTGCCTGTCTGAGAGTAGCAGCTTCTTCTGGTAGCTTGGAAGCCACCAAGAAGGCTTTGTGGTGTGCGTGGTGATGAAAGTGTAGGTATGAAATGCTTCCACCTTTTAGTGCTTGGGTCCCTGTGGGGAGGAGGAGCTTGTCCAGGCTTGGTCACACCGTACCAAGATCTTCTTTCTTGGTGTGGGATTGGCTTAGTGTCATTGGGTCTTCTGCCAGATGGCCCCTGTCTCGAAATACTCAGTTCTTCTCAAGGCGAGCTCTTGTGTTCAGCTTATTGTAGCTCAGAGGGACCCATGGAAACAGGCACACTGGACTTCAGGTCAGCACAGAAGCTCATAGAGAACGTCTTACGGTCCTCCAGAGTAGTATGGTTAGAGCATATGGTAACTACTGGAGGTAGGATGCTTTGTTGGGGGCATGCGATTTAAAGCGACAAGTGTTGAAGTTGTAGTGCCAGGCAGATGACAGTGGTGTGGGATGAGGCAAAGAGAACAGCGGTTTGTTTCTGGAGTTAAGCTGCCTGTGTATAACATCTTTGGCATTTTAAACAGAGAACATCTGGTTCCTTACAATTATTAGACACCAGAGATCTCTAGTATCTCACTGAGTAAGAGTGGTATCACGAACCAACAAAGGTTATTGTTATAACCAAATTTAGAGCCATACATCTCCCTTCACCTTACTGGAAAGTGGTGATCTTGGGCAGGAGAAGGGGAAGAATGACATTTATGTCATACCAGTGCCTTAGGCTGCATCTGTCTTAAGCAAATGAAGTGGCATCTGGGAACGTTGCTGGGCACAGGAATGAATATATATGGGTATATTCAAACTAATAGACCTTGGCATTCTTTTGGTCCATGAAAACTAGCAAACTTTTAAATCATTCCTAAGCATAAATCAGGGCTGTGGTGGTTTTACTCGGGTGGGCAGCCAAACTCTACCACAACC